AAAAAAAAAAAAAAAAAAAAAAAAAAAAAAAAAATCACAAAAAATAAATGTGGTACTCAAACCAGTACGAAAGGTCCACTGAATGGCAAGCATCTTCCTATTCAAGGACTGCTTAATTTATATCAAGAACTTAAGAGAACTATGGGGAAAAACACTTAGCCCATAGTTCTCTTTTAAGGGTCACGGGAGGACATAAACTGGCATCCTCCCGTGACCCAAAGCTCAGTATATCGCGAGCTACAGCTCACCGTATACTGAGACCGCCGCAGCCGGGACAGATCCCAACATTACTGTCGAGATCCACCCAGCTGCGTGAGTGACAGCTGGCTCTGCCTATCTAGAGGTAGATCCAGCTGTACCCAGCCCCTCCCCCGTCCGTTCCTCCAGTCATCGGTGGGGACTGAATCCGAAAACAGCCAGAAAGTCAAAAAATGAAATGTAATGCTTTTGAAGTAAGTGTAACTGTAAAAATTAACTGCAATGTTGCTCCTTCTTGGATTCCATAACAGCAGCCTTAAAATGATTGTTTCTAGACAGTACTTCTGGCAGTGCTGGAAGCATGTACAAAAGCAATGTGCTATGGGGAGAAGGAAGAGGGAATAATGATTTCCCTTAACTATGGCAACAATGGCATTACATTTAGATGAGCATTACCTTAGATCATCCAAAACAGCCAACTGTTAGCTAGCCTATGGAACATGCACATCTGCATACTTGTTCCTAGGCAATGCCTTAAAATATGAAAGCCTCATAATGAAAAGCATTATGGAGAAACTTAGTACATGTATTCCATATTTGTATTGTATTGTAATGTATTTGCTCCCCCGCGTCCACTTAAATTTAAAGGAAAATGTCACTTTTGTAAAAAATAAAAAAATATTATTTAATATAATATGCATGTATATGCATATGTACAAGCCATTTTGTAATTTAATTATATTAAAAATGACCTTTCCAAACTTTACAATTTGCAGCTGCTGTAATCTTCTGAAAATGTAAAATAAATTCAGAGCAATATGGCAACCGGGAGGCATTTTGAACACAGTTGGTGCAGGGAATGCCCCTAGAAATGTCGTTTCCTTCTTGTGTGATTTGTCCAATGCTTTTCTCAAAAGTGTGTACTAAGAGGCAAGTAAAATTTTAAGCATCCTCTGTAAGAGGATTTTCATTTTGGCTTCATTCATTTTAAGGCTCAACATTTCCATGGCATCTCTCTACTCAAGCACAAATGTAATCTTTTACAAAAAAAAAAAAAAGTGAATTATACTGTATTTGTGTGCACTAAAACTAATTTTAGTGTATATTTTTACTTAAAATATAGGTGTGCAAATATCATGCAACAAAAATTAACAACTACCATCTATTTATTATAAAAGGTTCTCTGCTTTAAGAAAATAGATCAAATTTTAAATGATTTTTTCAGGCATAAAATGTGCATTTTAACATGCAACGCATTTAAAGTGCAACGGGAGTAGACAAAATGCTAAGAAGGTAAAGCTGTCTAATGTTGCATAAATGCAAATGTTTGTCTAAACAGACATATACCTACTAAACTAAGGATGTCATGAAGGCTAAATGAATTGTATTCCCCAACACAGTACAGTTTTATAGGCACTGTGCCAGTGTTCAGCAAACTCCATAGTGGGTGCTAGGACAGTGACATTTCCATACATATATTTCAATCACCAGAGTCCCAGAAGGGTGTGATAAATGAGTAATTCCAGGTAGAATCTTCCCATAACTCAAAATACGTTTTGAGCAAATTTCCTCTATTTCCATCTAAAATATATGAGAAAAGACCACTGCTCAAAAGCAATCATTTGTGTGCTATAACATGTCAGTGAACAGTAAAATGAAGCAGATGAGCTGTTCAGCACTTTAAATAACATTTTTAAAAGCCACGTCACAGGCAATGCCAAGAAACAGAAGTAGTAAAAATGATGGCTCAGAACCCTGATGGAAAGTAGACCCAAGTCTATCGTCATAGGTGTCCTAAGTCTACCTATTGACTTTGAGTAAGTATATTTTATGAATGATTTTGATTTAACCAGGGAACAAGGACATCAAAGTGAAATCTAGAGTTTTCTCTTGCTAGTGATGTGCATTCTAATTACCAGTTCCTCTTTAAACCTAAAATGTCATTAGTCTATTACTGATTCCAGGCAGTGCAATTATACTGCAATCTAAACTGTTTTTTTTCAGATTTCAGTGTTGGGAACAACTTGGATCAATTCCTTCACATTTGCCCCTCTGCCGTGTATATTCCATATTTATGGTGAACTACACAGAGCTACATTTCTGTGTGCTTGCAGAGGTCCATGTTAGGTTGTTTGTGGTTAGGTTCAACCCAGAAATACATAAACAGAGGGAGAAAAGGGAAGTTGAGCTCAAAAGGGAGCCATGGTATTGCAGCTGGACTAGTATCAGGCTGAGTAAAGCACGGCCCATTACAGTTACGGACAGTAAATACTTGGTGGGACTACCAAATCTTTCTATCTCCATTAATAAACTAAAATAAACTTGGTGGAGAAGTGCTTTGATGGTGAGATTAGATTTACATTTCTCCCTCATAAAACGTGGCTTTCAAATTATTTTACTTATTATTATTGCTATTATTATTATACACAGCCACAGGGGCATAAATGAATGACATGCATTACACTTAATGCTTAATGATACTTAAATGATATGATACATGATACTTAAACGATTATTCTTTTTGTATTTGTGATGCAAGTGGCAAAATGTAAATACATTTTGTTGTAAAAGGTTGTGTAAAACCCACAGGTCACATTACATCTTAGCTACATCTCAGGCTCTCATCTAACAAATGTCTCATTACGATTAATGATCATTGCCAAGAAATCTCCCAGAAATGTAGTAAGTACACCATGTTGTGTGACCTTTTTGCAGTACAATGAGCATTCGTGGGTACTAATGCATGCCTTTATTATGGCAGCTGTCATTTCCAATCACACCCGGACAAGATATAAAAGTGTGTGCAATTCATGTGCAAGCTAATAAAATCTTCTGCATTCCAAAAATAAATAAAAATATTCCCTTATATGAGGGATACTGATAGTCAGGGCTGGATGAAGTCCAACAGCCAGGTAGCCTATGTGTCTAAAAAAACATTATAGATGGCACCTTGCATCTACCCCCCTAAGGATTTTTTTCTGTTGTGTGAGAAGAAAACATCCTTACTGGATACTTAAGAGTGCATGCTGGCTTCTACACTATCTAGCAACTAAACACATTATTTTCCCACCCCATAATTGGTTTTGACAATATATAATGGCTCCTTCACTACAATGCACAAATAGATACAGATATAAACTTTGCTTTTGGCAATTTAAAATATTTTGTGTCAAACACAAGCAATCTGACACAACACGCACATATGTACATAACCCATTAGTGGTCCCAAGAAGACTGGTTTGAGACCTGTCAGCGCAGTGTATAACATATGTTTCAATAATAGCCACAAGGTATCTATAATACAGAAAGCTAAGGATATGAATCAGTTGTGCACTGGGTATCAAATGCAGGAAGTATCCTGTACACAGTCCCTTAAATAAGAGTAAGGCACTTTAGAGACCCTCATTCTACAAGAGGGAAATAATATGGTTCACAAAAGTCTCCTGTGCATGAACTTCAGAGGGCCGCGCAAGCCAGTGCAAAATCCAGACCCAGGCATGAGTTCTTCTACGACTAGTCCACTTTTAACACATCAGAGTTCACCTTAAGCAGGTACAGGCTGTCATCTTTCAGGAAGCTATGTGGACACAAATATAAACAGGTCATTCTGCAATGCATTTGAATTTAAAATGGGCACATTACAATACAATATCGTAACTGGAAAAATAACAACCTTTGCTGAATATATTCAGAATTTGATTTGCCCATAATCCCTTGCAGGTTTGCTTTTAAAGCATCTCTGTTGCAAGCATGAAAACTTGGAAAAAAAAGTCACTGCAAAAAGAAGGAGGTTTAACTGTCCAGTTTGCTCTCTTGTTTAAGTATCTTCAGCATCTGACACTTCGACACCTAGTTCCCTTCTGCACTCTTTGGTTCCTTCTGTCAGCCCCTAGGTCAGTGCAGGACTCAATGGTGATGTAGGGGCTGAGGACTAGACCATGGTGCTCAGCAGTAAAGCAGGTATCTGACACACGTGGTAGGGTATCAGATGCTGAAGATTGTTCAGCCACTGTAGCTCTTAAAGACAGCAATGATCAGCAGTGTGGACAGAGGAACAGGTAAAACATGGTCTTTTTTTTTCCCCAGGGACTTTTTTATTCTAGAAATAGATTCGCCTTAAACCCATTTTGACGTCTAAACAGTGCCTAGGATTAAGAGTGTAAGTAGAACATAATAAAATATGTAGTAGGGATGTCCCAATACCAAGCCCAAGTATTTTCCCCTCAGGTACTCGGTGATACCCATTACTGATACTTTTTCTTAAAAGGGACATGTGACATTTTTTCTAAACCAATACAAACAAATGATGTTAGGGCAGATCTCGCCAGAGCTGCGTACAGATTTCACCAGGCTGCATGTGGGTCTCTCCAGGGCTCTGCGGGCAGGGGCTGGGCTGAACGGATGGCTGCCGGTCTTGTGCCGGCTCTGGGGCTGTATGTGTGGCTGTCCAGCTGTGCCTGTGCCAGAATGGAGGAGATATGGGACCGGGCAGGCACTGTCAAAAACAGTTACTGCCAGCAGGCAGCTAGGGTCCCCACAAGCACAGGAACTCAAGCAGCCAATTCAGTTTAAAAATTTAAAGGGCCGTTATCAGCCTTTAGTATAGAGGCTTTTTTATGAGTCCTTGTACTGTACCTTGTATCGGGACATCTTTAATATACAGCATAAAAATGTTTTTCAGAGCTGTGAACCAGTGGTGAGGGACCAGAAACGCACTGAAAATTCTTGCCTGAGGAAGAAAGTCACTGCTTGCCTGCCCTCCCTTCCACAATGCTAGGGGAGGGCCTGGGAATGTACAAAATGGAGCTGTTGTACGCTAGTTGAGGACTTCAGGCACAATAGGCCTACAGCTCTCAAAACACTTCCATCCTACTCCAGGTTTTGTTTTTTGTTTTTTATTTGCTTCATATGAAGCATTAAACCTGCATTATTTAAATCTAAAAAAATGGAAACTAAAACAATACTGTATAGTATTAAAACCCTGGATAATGTCCTTTTATCATGGAAAATTCTTGCAAAAATATTTACCAGTAGGTTTGATTTACTAAAGGAGTACGACATGGGTAGGCAACCTCGGCACACTAGCTGAAGGTGAAACCAAAAATCCCACCGTGCCTCTGGAAGTCATGCCTGTGGCTGTCAGTCTTGCAATGAACCAAGGGACAACTGGTTTTACAAGAGCTGGCGTGCCAAGGTTGCATAGTATCTGGAATACAGCATGTTCACTCAAGCAAAGAGAATTTTTTTTTTTTTCCGGCTCGCAAGATTGCCAAAACAGCTTTCATAAGTATGCAGGTTATACACCTTTAGTAAATCAGCCCCAGTAAGTCTAATTTTATATTTTCACTCCATATTATCTAAGAACACCTAAACAATACCATTTTAAAAGGACATTATTTTCTTTAGATACAGATATGAACAATATGTTACATAAAAATAACCCTATAAAGTATGTGACAGTTTTAAAAAATACCCTTACATCTGTGTAAGGTTTGTAAATAAAAGGGGAAGACATAAGTGCTCATGGGCCTCTGAAGTGTGCCCTGAAGCCTTCTTCACAACAATTGAACCTCTCTCCTTGAAGTTCTTGATGATCTGATAAATGGTTGATTTAGGTGCAATCTTAGTAGCAGCAATATCCTTGCCTGTGCAAAGCAATGATGACTGCACATTTTTCCTTGCAGGCAACCATGGTTAACAGAGGAAGAACACTGATTTCAAGCATTACCCTCCTTTTTAGGCCTTGTTCACACCAAGTGCGTTCCAGGAGCAGAGCAGTTACAGACCGGAGCAAAACTGCGTCCAATGTATTCCAATGGTATTTTTAGCTCCAGTTCACATCGCAGCGTTCCGTTCCAGAGCAGGTAAAAAACATGCAGCAGGCCCCATTTTACCTGCTCTGGAACGCATGCAAATGCATAAAAAATGCATGCAAACGCCCTAGAACGCACTGAAAGGCCATTTAAACCAAAATTTTTTTTTACCAAAAACAGCCCGGAACGCATCAAAAACTCGGCAAAACCCGCTGCACTGCGTGTGCAGAAACTCATGCAGATCTGCTCTGCATTTGGTGTGAACAAGGCCTAAAGCTTCCAGTCTGTTATTCTAACTCAATCAGCATGACAGAGTGGTCTCCAGCCTTGTCCTCGTCAACACTGACACCTGTGTTACCAAGAGAATCACTGACATTATGTAAGCTGGTCCTTTTGTGGCAAGGCTGGAATGCAGGCACTGCAAGGGTTAATACAATTTCTGCCCGGAGTTCTTCTTTAAACCAGCCAGAGGGCTAAACTCCAAATATTGATGGCTGAAAGGCATCATCAAACACAACTGTTTAATTCCTAACTCCTAATCACCATGTGTTAATCCTGGGAGAACATTTTTTTTTTTTCCTGTGACCCTGAGCTGACCATAGACTTAAGATAACAAGGATTTGACTACTCCCGGAAAAGAAACAAAAACACTTCACAATGCTGCAGAGCACTCAAAATCCAAGTAATGCCGAGTACGCCTGCATCGAATTTTGGCAGATTCAGCAGGAATCCCACGGAATTCGATTCATGGGTGGCACTATGTCCTCAACAAAAGTCGATCATTGACATTTGTCGAAGGAGATGCTGGAAAATTGTCAAACACTGCTTGCAGCCAACCAGCTGCAAGAACTGTTCGAGTAGTCTGACAGCAGCGGGTTCTGCTGTCAGAATAAAACGTATTCGGGAGATTCGTTAATCCACACGGTTAGCGTGAATGGAGGACTCCGTCAGATTTTTTTCATTCAGAAATTTGCGTTTACCCAGCATAAGTCTGTTTCTGCAAAACCTATGAGAAATTGTCCCTCATGATGCCTGCAACCAATATATATTGGTCTGGTGATAGTAATTGGCTATATATGAGGGTCTGGACAGATTATATTACAATATATTATGGTCTGAGGATAATGTGTGATAAGGGGGTGAGGAGGGAAGCCACTACTTTAAGTGGTAATACACATAATGATGATGAAATTATGGTTATTATTATTAACAACACTTCATTATTAACCATTCACACTACCTTTTCAAGAAACAAAACATGTTCAAAACGGGTTCAGTGGAACCATACCTGCAGAACTGGTAAATGTATGGTAAAGGGAATAACACCAGCATGTACATTTTTACATTACATAAGACTGCCGCACTGATCAACAAGTGTCACTCACCTATAGAAGAGTACATTCAAAGGGATGGTGCTAAAGTGCCAGAGAGCATGGGCATCCAGCACCCACAAGACAGGTGGGAAATCGAGCAGCTCCAGCAAAGCTAGACTCTGTAGTAGGACCACCACCAGAACACACTTCCACAAATAAGGTTGGTGGGAACGTCTCTTCAAACACCATGCCAGCCACCATACCAGATTAACCATGCCTGGTGGAGAACAGAACCAAGGACATGGTAAGAGACTTAAGGACAAAACAAAAAGGCAGGAGTAAGGCAACAAGTATAAAGCAAACTTACCAAAGCCAGCATTTGCTAGCATGTTGTAGCTGTAGTCAAATCGTCCAAGGGTAAGGTAAGACACATGGCACGCAAAGAGTACTACTAGGACAGCACCAAAAGCAGTGGCCAAAGAAGGATATCGAAGACCCAAAGTCCTAAATTGCAAAAAATATACATTAAAAGTCAGCACTGCATAATATGTTAATAATTGAGAATGATGATAAAAATAGGAAAAAGAGAGGGGGTGTAAGGGAAGGCTACCAGAAACAGGGGTGAGAGGAGCATGCCAACAACAAAGGGGGCACAGGGAGACCACAGACCAAAGCATCAGTGAGGGGAGGACGCAGGCAAAAGCAGAGGTTAAGGGAGAACGAAGGCAACAGTAGATAAAAGTGGAGGGTGCAGGCAACAGCAAAGGCAAGGAGCTGCAACACTGGAAGTGAGGGGAGGGGGGCACCAGCAATACTAGGAGAGGAAAGGGAGCCGGCAAGAATGGGCAAGGGAGGGCACTGACAACATTGCAGTCAAGGGGAGTGCATTGGAAACACTGTAGGCCAGGAGAACATGCCAGCATGGGGAGAGCAACAGCAACAATGGCGTTATTATACAGGATTTATAAAGCGCCAACAGTTTGTGCAGCGTTTTACAAAATGGGGGAGACAGTACAGCTACAATACAATTTCAGTACAATAGGGTTAGGAGTGCCCTGCTCATTAAAGCTTACAATCTAGTAGGAGGGGCAAGTGAAAGAAAAAAGGTAATAATTGTTAAAATTAAGTTAGTGGAAGAAGCAAAAGGGCAGTTATGTTGGAGGTGGGATAGGCTTCCCTGAAGGGATTAGTTTTTAAGGATCGCCTATAGGTGGATAGAGTTGAGTGCCAGCAACACTGGAGGCGAGGAGAGAGAGCCTACAGCTTAAATGACAAGGCAGGAGGCTTGCTATAGGGGTACCTGCAAAGGGGTAGACAGAGGTAGAGGCGCCTGCAGTATGAAAATGCGAGGGAAAATGCCTTCATCAGGCTGGTGGGCAAAGGCACTAAGAGCCCATTCACACAAGGGCGGTTGTTGCGGATCAGCTCGGTTACCGCGCTGATCTGAAAAGGGAGGCTCTGGGACTTTTTAATTGCGTTTCAGAGCTGAAACGCAACTAAAAACACCCAAAACCGAGCTGAGCAAGCGATTTTCTATTGAAAGCTGTATGGAAACCTCACTGGTCAGCACAGCAAAAATAGTCCAGGGAGCAGCTCAGGCCGGGGGTGGTTCGGATCGTGCGGTCGCATGAACGGTCCCCATAGCAATGTATGGGATCGTTCATGCCGGTGGATCAACGCGGCCGAACCCTCCCGATGTCTTATAGGGGAGGCAACAGAAAGATGAAATGGTGTTTTTAGTATTAAAGGGTAATTGCCTACACAGATAATGTTTTTTTTCCCCTGCATTTATAAATTGCCAGTGTTTAAAGATTTAGCACTCTCCCCTTCTCTACACTCACCTCATACAGCACAGGTAGATAGAGTGCAGAATGACTGCCGAGGCACAGAAGTAGTCCATTTTCTGCGGGGACAGACAGTGAATGTGGCAGGATGCAGACTGACAGAACACTGCATACATGCAATGCACACACAAGTGCAAGCAATCCATGTTCTTCAACTCATTACCTCAGTAATCGCCGTGTCTCTGGTGTGAAAAACTGTCGACCAGAACCACGCATTTATGGAGACCTGATGGACACAGTCAAGATTAGATTAATCCATATGAACAGAAGAGATCAAACAAATGCTTACAGAAAAGTCTTGCATACCATGGCAAAGGTGAGGCAGGTGTGGTACATAGGACAAGAAGCAGGAACAGAAGCACGGTAATGCCGTAGCATCATTATGTTGGCAAGGCCATTGAGAAAAGAGGCCAAGGCGGACGCTGGCTCCTGGAAGAACAGGAATCTGGAAAATGGCCACTGCGGTAGGTCAAGTAGATTAGGCGGTGGAGAGGAACAAAAAAAAAAAGTTGAGGAACTATTTGTCTATAACCTTTTTATAGTGAGTTAAATTTGCTAATCAATAAATAAGATGTACAAATTTCATTAAACATAACTGATCAGGAGTTAAAACTTTTTTTTTTAATTAGTTTTAATATGCATAAGAAAATAAACATACAAGTCTACAAAATGGCAAAAGATAAAACCTGGTCAGGGGCACTAGCTTAAAACAGGTACAATGGTTTTTTCAAATTAAGTATTATTAATTTTTTTTAACATAAAAGAATCCCCAACAGGGATGTAGAGGCAGTAGTATGCGTTACCTTTTCCATCAGGCCCAAAAGACAAATCTCCATCTTCGATTGTACCCCAAACACCAAAATCCGAGATAAACTGTGTAACCTCTGCCCAAAACTGCTTAATACGAGAACAATCCCAGGATTTTAAACATTCAAATGTGCATGCTTTATGTTCAATCAGAAGTAGAACATGCAGCAAAAAATCTTAAAATGATTAAATAATATAGGGGAGTGAAAATCTAGCATTAGAACTCACCTTGCCATGAAATTGGGGGACAGCATATCCTTCTTTAATATAAAGGGAAACCGTGTCCCACATACACTGGTAACGACAGTCGTCCAAGCATGCCCAGCCTGGCATAAGAGAAAAGCAAGAAGCAAAACAAAAAAACACAGATGAGGAACGTTCCATTAAATTTACCTTAGCTTGCAATCACTCAAATGTCTCAACTGCAGACATGTCTAAAATCAGTCAAGATGCAGCATATCAGCTACTGCAACACATACAGTCCCAGAAAAAAGTCATTTGTTGTACCTTGAACTCTTCTGCAGCAGTCATATATACCTTGTATGCTAAAGGTTCAAGTTTCATAATCATTTAAACAGCTAAAAATAGTCCTTATTTTTTGCCGATCAATACTCCCTGCGTATTGGTTCATGAACCTACTAGTCACTACCTCAACATACCTTTTACCTGTCCCTCTCCTGTCAATGACAGTAGTCATGTAGACAGAAAAAGAGGGCAAATCCCTTAGAAACGGACACACCAGCATTAAACAACTTGCAAAAATTCTAATCCCATCCACACTCTTACCAAAAAAAAAATACATTTTGGCTATAATTACACAGTTGGGTTGGGAAAAGACAAACCAATACAATATACCCACAGTTGAACGAGAGGAAAGCAAAAACAAACCCTTAAGGTGCCCATTTTTAATGTACTGGCCGAAATTTGCAGTGTGTGGGGCTGTCGGCTCCCTTTCAGCCGGCATTCCTCGATCAGCTGATCGAAAGAGCCAGCTGGAGAATGTTCGATCGATCAGAGCCGGCAGCCAATGAGGGTATTCTGACAGGTGCTGGCGGCACCTGTTAGAATACAACGTAAACAGCAGGATTCCTCAATTGACGCGCTGTTTGTGTTGGAGGAATCGCCTCAATTTTTTTCGTTTAACCCGCAGGTTACCCTCGGGTTCTCCACAGTAAGATCAGTTAGGGTCTGGAACTCACTGCCACAGGCGGTGATTTCAGCAAATAATGTGGAATTGTTCAAGAAACTTTTGGACGATTTCTTAAGGGACCGTAATATACAGGGGTACGGGTACTCCTAGAATGAGATCCTAATAGGTTGGACTTGATGGACTAATGTCTTTATTCAACCTCAAATACTATGTAACTATGTCCTGGCCATCTGTGACAGAAGAGATTAAAGCTGGCCATACACATATAGATTATCTGCAGATTTTCTATGGTCAGATGGAAAACGTGCAACAGATTCCTCCATCTACAATAAACTGTGTGGATGGTGAAACCTCCCACTGGGCCAAGTTTCAGTGTCTTGCTAATCAGCCCCGTTGGCTCTCAAAAATACCTGAACAATGCCTGCATCCAATCAAATTGTTCATGTATTTTGACAGCCAGCTGGGCCGACTAGCAAGATACTGAAGCTTGGCCCAGTGGGAGATTCCTCCATCCACATAGTTTAGTGTAGATGGAGGAATCTGTTGCACGTTTTCCATCTGACCATAGAAATCTGCAGATAATCTATAGGTGTATGGCCAGCTTTACACAGTCTCTTCTGCCATATAAAAAAAACCTGCTTGTCAGCACCTTTGACAAATTAGGCTTCACTTCAATACAATGAGGTTGCAATGCAACACTTCTTCCATTCATTTTACATATATGCTACCATTCATCCTTATAGCATACAAACAGAATGCAATGCTTTTCACATCTCATAAAACCATATTTTATTCACAATAGAAGATAGAATACATATCCAATGTTTAAACTGAGAAAATGTACCATTTTAAAAGAAAAAAATAAGATAATTTGGAAATTGATCGCTGCAACACGTCTCCAAAAAGTTGGGACAGGGCAACAAAAAGCTGGCAAAGTAAGTGGTAGTAACGAGGAGCTGGAAGGACATTTTCCAACTAATTAGGTCAATTGGCAACTGGTCAGTAACATTGTTTGGTATAAAAAGAGCATCTTAGAGAGTCAGAGTGTCTCAGAATTGGGGTTGTAAAACACAAGGAAAATGCACAAAGCACTGCTCTACACACATATAAACATGTAAACAAAGTCTACTGGATTTGTGCAAATAAAGGAAATTGATCAAGAAAGAAATCTAAAAGCCGCCACTGCCGACATATTTTTGAAGATGCAGCCATCCTAATCCTTGCTTTACTACTAAATCATGGACCTAGAACACACACATCCCCAAGAAGCAAACTAATTCCTTTGTATGTGGTAATACCTATGCAAGGAACACAGGCTACTATTCGCCTTACTTACCAAAGGCAATTTATATACCAGATCCGGATAAGACAATACCAAAATAACCTGCATTCTTGGGTGCAGAAGCCACCAAAAGGCAGTGCATTTACCACCTTTGACCCCCCCCCCCCCCCCCTCCCCCACACAACCCTCCCCCCCCCC